GGGGCTGGGGGCCGGCATAGTGGATGCTGGGTGGCTTGTCGTACACCTCGTTGTCCTGGGGAGGGAGGCGGAGACAGGCTGGGGGTTGGTGCTGCCCCAGGTGGGAATGGGGATGAGGATGGAGATGGGGGTGGAGATGGTTGAGGATGGATGGAGATGGGAATCGTTGCAGATGGATGGAGATGGGGATGCGGATGGAGATGGGGTTGGTTGGAGACAGGATGAGGATGTATGAGAATGGAGGATGGGGATGGACATGGGGGATAAGGATGGGCATAGGGGACGAGGATGGGCATGGGGGACAGGGAACTCACCAGAGCCGAACTGGGGATCAGGGTGTGCTCCTCCAGCTGCAAGGGCATGGCACATCAGATCCCAGCTGCCCGTCCCCCCTTCCTCGCGCATGGGTGGGGGGACCCATAGGCATTGCCAAAAGGCACCACCAAAACCCCAGGGCGATGCTGTCTGCACTCCCCTAGAGCCAGGCAGTGCAACCCAAGATGGGGTGCTCCTCCGCTCCCCCCCCACTCACCAGCACCCGTCGGAAGCCCCCGCGCAGGCGGACGTAGAGCTCTTGCCGGTCAGTCAGGAAGACGAGGCTGCCCTCGGGCAGCTCGTGCGCAGCACTCAGCATCGCCTGGTAGGTCGGCAGGGTCCGCAGCTGCAGGCACAACCCGGCGGGTGGCTCAGGGCTCAGCCAGCCAGCCCGTGGGTGACCCCCTACCCAGAGCCCCAACTCACCCCCAAGGACATCCCACTGGTGCCTGGTGGTCCAGGGGGTCCTGGTGGTCCAGGGGGTCCAGGGATACTGATAGCTGGGGAAGAAGGGTGAGATGGAGAGGGCTGCAGCAGGGGTTGCAGGGAAGGATGCAAGGGTGGCGGGGGGGATGCAATAGGGAAGGTACTCACCTTGTCTGTGGGGACCTGGGAAGGAGGGTGGACCAGGGGGACCAGGAGGGCCAGGGGGGCCCTGCCGCCCCTCGTATCCCATACCAGGGGGGCCCTGAGGTCCAGGAGGCCCTGGCGGCCCAATGATACTGTCCCCCTTGGGACCCTAGGCAATGCGAGAGAGCATCCCTGGAGCAAAGCACCCAGGGATGCTGCACCCCCCCATTCCCCCCTCACCTGCTGCGCCATGGGGTACTCACCGGCAGCCCAGGGTAGCCCTGGGGCCCTGGAGGCCCTGGCAGCCCAGAGATGCTGGGACCGTAGAGTGGGGTGCTGCCTGACTCGCCTTTCTCACCCTTGGGACCTGCATCCCCCTTGTCACCCTGCAGAATGGCACAGCCTTAAGATGAGCGGCAGGGCTGCACCCCAGTACCCCAAATCATGCCAGGTGCCAGGCCTGTGAGCCACCACCAGTGGGCAAAGGGCTTACCCGCAGGCTGGCACTGAAGTGACTCAGGTCGTAGGGGAAGTGGCCTGCGGAGAGGGAGAGGAGGGGCGAGGAGAGCTGGGATGCGCACGAGCCACCCTCTGCCCACCTCTGCCTGTGGGGCCTGGTCACCTACCTGGGGGTCCCGGGGCTCCAGCATCACCTTTCTCTCCCTTTTGTCCTGGAAATTGGTGGAAACCTGTGGGAAGCAGCAGAGAGATGCCATCTTAGTGCTGCAGCATCCCAGCTCCAGCTGTAACGGAGGGGGTGTCCCCCGCCACCCCACCTTGCTGGGGGTCCCCGAACTGCCCTGATGGTGCTGGGAGAGGGACACCCCCTTACCGGGGAAGGCTGGCAGTGCAGGATGGCTGGAGTCACTGAAGGCCTGCGGGGATGCAAAGGAAGTGGCTGCAGAGACAGCAGGATCCTCAAGGACCTCCACTCAACGTGATGCTGATGACAGCCCCATGTGCCAGCCCTGGCCAGGATGCCACGGGAGCATCCTCCATCCTCTCCAGCCAGGCAGGGGGCAACCAGGAGGACCTGGTCACTAGCCCTCAGCACCCCCATCATGGTGACCGTGTTGTTACTCACATTGCTGCTGTCATAGACTATGCTGCCGGGTGGCCCAGGGGGCCCTGGGGGACCTGGGGGCCCTGGGGGACCCTGCAGGGAGAGAGAAGATGTGTCAGGGTCCTGCAAAGTGGACAGTCCCCGTGAGGGGAACACTGGGGCCATGCCCTGCCCCAGAGGGTCAACCAGCCCCTAAGAGAGGGAGGCATGTGCCCTTTGCCAAAGGGATTTGGGTCCCCCAGTCTGCTGGGCCAGCAGTCCAGGGAGGCTGCAGCAGTGCTCACCCGCAAGCCCAGTACGCTACTGACATCCGCGGGGTCACCCTTCTCACCCTTCAGCCCATTCATGCCGGGACGTCCCTGTGGATGAGCAGCACAGATGAACCTCATCCCCAACCCCCTGCCAACCCCAGGGTGACACCCCAGTGTCACTTCTGATGCCCCAGCATCACCTCCAACACCTCGGCATCACCCTGCCCCTCAGGGACACGATAGGGTTTGGGGTTCAGTGGGTGCAAGATGCGCAAATGGGGTGGGGGGACGCAGTGAAGGAGGTGATGACCGAAGGGACAAACAAACCGGGAGCAGGTCTTACGGGTCTGCCCGGAAAGCCGATCTCTCCCTTCATCCCTGCTCGTCCCTGGGGACCCTGGAGGGGAAAGAAGATGAAGATGAGGGTGCTCAGAGTAGGGGCACCCCCCCCCGTCCCTCTCTGCCCTGGACTGGCCCCGTTCCTCCCTGTGGGATATGAGGAGGATGGTGATGGTGACTTACCGAGGGTCCCATCGGTCCCCGTGGCCCCGGCTCCCCCTGTGGACAGCGGAGAGGGAAAGGGCATCACAACCGGGACCACCTGGCACCCATTGCACAGGGACATGCCCCCCATTCCTGCAGCACACCCACCTTTTCTCCTTTCACCTTTGCAGTGACCATGGTCCCATCGGGGCTGATGATGACGCCAGGCTCCCCTTTCTCCCCCTGCAAGAGAAGAGAAGGCATGAGGGGAGATGGAGGGACCAGGCTCCTTCCCATGGTGGGGCTGGCATCACCACTGGGACCCGGTGGCCAGTCAGGATGGGGGACCAGACGTGTGACCACCCCACGGGGTGGAGGTGGCCCGGAGCAGTTACCTTCAACCCTGGGGAGCCCTGAGGACCAGATGACCCCCGGTCGCCTTTCGGTCCCACCGGGCCCTGCAAGGAGGAGCACAGAGCCCATGTCAGCCCCGACCCACCAAAGGCAGACCCCAACCCCCCTCTCCATCACCACCACCCCAGTAGTGCTGTGGCAGGACCGGTGACCAGAGGCTTCACCAAAGTGTGCCCAGAGCTTTCACTGGGGCCACCCCTGTGGTCCCCAGCCCTGCCACCGACTCACCGGGAAGCCGGCGTGACCTGGTCTGCCCTGCGGAGAGAAGCAGAGATGCTTTTGAAAGCAAACCCTCTCTTTCCAAGAAACTGGATGCTCTCCCAGCAATGCTGAGGAGTGGGCACAGGTGGCAGGGGGCACCTACCTCTGGACCGGGCAAAGCCACCAAAGACTTCTGGAAAAAGAGACAAAACGAGGTTTTTTCACCCTGATCGTTGCTCTGAAGAGGTGAGAGCTCCTGGAGAGGTCTCCCTCAGTCCCCCCACAGGATGGGTGCTGGGCAGGCCCTCCCCCCTGCCAACCCCCCAAGTTTAGCTTCTCCCAGCTGCAGTGAAGCCAGGTGCCATCACTTACATCTTCACTAGAGACAGTAGTGACCTGTCCAGGGGGACCAGGTGGACCAGGGGGCCCGGGCAGCCCCACACCATCTTGGCCTCGCTCACCCTGGAAGACACAAGCCATCAGCCCCAGGGCCACCACTGGCCAGTCCCCGTCCCCAGCCTGGTGGCACCTACCTTCTCGCCGGGGCTGCCTCTGTCACCTTTGGGTCCCTGGAAGGAGGAGCAGGGAGGGGTGAGCTTCCCGCTTGGCACCACACACAGCCGGACCCTGGCTTACAAGCGGAGACCCACTCCTGCCTGTGGCTCAGCAAAATCTTTCAGGCCACCCCCCTCTGTCTGCAAGGTCCAGGCAGCGAGCCAGGTTGGGATGCTTTTGGGTGGAGGTGGTGGCGAGCAGGGTGGCAAGCCGATGGGGATGGGGTCCCAAGCGGCGTGGGCAACCCTGGCACGCGGTGAGCCCGGTCCTGGAGCAGGGGAACCACTGAAGGCACCGGCGGGGCAGAATTTTGGCTGCTGGGGATGGAGCTGCTGCAAATGGCCCTGCAGCGATCAAGGGTGCTGTGCCTGGAGTGAGGGGGCTTCTGGAAAAGGGGGGCTGATGCTCCTACCTGCGGTCCGGGGAAGCCCTCCAGGCCAGGCCGGCCATCCACACCGGGTACGCCAGCATCTCCCTGCAACGAGGTGTGGAAAAGGGCAGGATGCAGTATGGAGCATCCTCCTGACAGTCCCAGGTTGGGGAGCACAGGGGTCCTGCCCAGTGCCCTGCAAGTGCAGGTGCTCGCACACAGCCCGTCCCAATCTCCAGGCACTCCTACCTTCAGTCCCGGCAAGCCGGGCTGCCCAGGGCTGCCAACCTCCCCCTGCAAGGAAAGAGGTGTCAGAGCAGGAGCATCCCCACAGACTGCCTGTGGGCATCCTGCAAGGATGGAGCCAAGCTCCTGTGGCTGGCTCGAGCAAAGGGCGAGGAAGGTGTCTGAAGGGCTCCTCACCTTCACCCCCGGCAGTCCTGGCACTCCCTGCAAGCAACAAGAAGGGGCCATGAGTGTTGGGTGATGGCAGGGGACATGATGGCAGGGGATGCCCCCGGCAGCCCAAGATGGAGGCAAGAGCGGAGCTACCTGTGGTCCTTCGGGTCCGGGTGGTCCAGGGGAGCCAGCGGTGAATGGCAGCCCCGAGCCCTCCATGTCGCCCTAGGTGGGGGAGGGAGAATGGGCTGGGCCACATCTGCCCCCCACTCCGGTTCATCCCACCCCCTCCATCACAGGGGTGATCACTTACAAATCCAGCCTCGTAGCCTCTCCCCGCTGGTCCTGGGGGACCGGGGGGCCCTGGAGGCCCTCGGGGTCCGATGGGCCCAGGAAGGCCAGCTAAACCCATTTCTCCTGGGGCTCCTGCTGGTCCCATTTCTCCCTTGTTGCCCTGCAAAGGGGACAAGAAAAACAAGGGGACAGACGAGGTGGCAACGGTCCCTGCCTGGAGCCTGCAAGCGGGAGGCAGCACATCCCTTCCCGTATCCCCAAACCGCCCCTTGGGACAGGACATGGATGTTCCCCTGTCTCCAGGGCAGAGGGGCTTTGCAGGAAGGGGCATTGCCCAGCTCATGCATCCTTGGTCCTGGCTGTCTTTGGAAGGCCCCAGCTCCCCGTGCAATGTGCACGGTGGCCACCAGAGGCTCGTCTAAAATCATAAATGCGAAATTTTTTTGCACATGTCGCTGGCTCCGATGCTGCAGCAGAGCTCAGCGCCGAAGGAGGATGCTCGCATGCATCCTTGCGCTTTGCTGCGGGTCTCCGAGGGGCAGGATCAGTCTTTACGCCCGCTGCTGCCCTATCTACCCTCTCAGTGCTGGCAGCATTAAGAAACCTTAATTCTTGAGGGTCTTGCCCACAGCTCAGGCTGCGGTGCATGGGTTATCCCAAGGGGCATCCTGACCCCCAAGGGAGGGGAGGGCAAGCATGTGTATCCCAGCAAGCCTCTACCTCCACCCTTGGGGATGCAGGGCAGAAAGAAGCTCAAGTAGGGAGGAAGGAGAGTGATGCACAGAAGATGGGGTATTTTCCGGTGGGGTGTGGGCACCCAACACCCCAACCTCCCCCAAGCAAACCCTCTTCTGTGCCTTGAAACACCCCACTCACCTTTCCTGCCCATTTCCCAAGGTGGCAGTGCCCAGAGCAAAGCCAAGTTAGGGTGGCAGGAGCCCAGCGAGCATCCTGTGGGCGGTCGGCGGCTTCACGCGCCCTTGAGCTGCAACACTGTTCTGCTCTGGGAGGAACCCAAATCCCAGCATCCCCCTTCCCACTCCGGCACAAGGTGGCCCCCCAGGCCTCATCCCTGCCTCCAGTCTGCAATGCACATAGGACACCTCCCCAGGAAACCCACCCAGGCACAGTACCTTGGGTCCTGGTGCACCGGGGAGGCCAAGGTCGCCCACGTCGCCCTGGGGAGGAGAAGGAGGGAGAAGAGGGTGTGAAGCAGCTGCCCAGCTCCAGGCAGGAGCAGGTTGGTGCTCCTCAGCCTGGGGATGGAGGGAGCTGGGACCTCCTGGGGATGTGCCAGGGGTGCTGGCTGCCCTGTGGGGGAGCCGTGATGTGCTCCCAGAGGACATGGGACAGGGGATACTCACCTGCTCTCCTTTGGGCCCTGGCTGCCCAGCTGCCCCATCTCTTCCAGGAGGACCCTGAGGACCCTGCAAGATGCCCAGGAGCTGGCTCCAGCACAGGGGGAGCCCATGGGGCTGGTGGGCACTGAGCTCCCCACCACCACAGGAGGCAGTTACAGCCCCACTGCTACGGGATGGCCCTGGGATGGGTCCCCTTGGACACCTCATACACATACCGCTGGCCCTGGGGGCCCGGGGGTCCCGTCCCTGCCTGGCAGCCCCGGCCGTCCCAGCAGGTCCGTGTGGTTCATCCCAAACCGTCCTGGCTCCCCTGGCAAACCGGGCACACCGGGTGGCCCTGGGGGACCGGGTGGCCCTCGTGGACCCTGGAAGAGAAGGATGGGATGATGGCTGAGTGTGTTCCCCCACTCCCTGCCAGCAGGACAGGCACTCACCCGCACTCACCCGCAGGCTCTCCAGGTCGCCGCCGAAGCCAGAGCCCTCCATGTCGATGAAGGTCTGGGAGAGAAGCATGAGGGCGATGTCAGGCATCGACAACCAGGGTCAAGGTACCCAGAAGTGCAGGAATTCTGCCTGAGGGATGGTGGCAGCATCCCACACTACTGTGTCTTGGTGGATCACCCCCCCCAAATCTCTATGTCCCAGGGGGTACCCACCAGCTTGTCATGCTTGGAGAAGGGTCCTGGTGGTCCTGGGGGGCCAGGTGGTCCAGGGGGTCCCCTTGGTCCCACACCTGGGTCACCCTAGCACAAAGAGAGTGCAGTTTGCAAGTGCAGCCAAACCAATGGCAAGAGGAAGGGGGGGCAGCGGTGTGTGCCATCCCCCCCCCACCGGCACCAGCACTCACCTTCTCCCCCTTCAGACCGGGCTCGCCTGGTGTCCCGGGGAACCCCTGGGGCCCCATATCGCCCTGCAAAGGGGAGGGGTGGGGGGTCAGTGGGTGGCAAGGCAAGGGAGTGGCTGGCACCCATTACCCCCCACCCCCCCACCCCACTTACAGGTTTGCCGTCCTCGCCAGGATCGCCCTAGGGATGGCAGAGAGGGGAGAGGTCAGCGTGCAGGCAGGCTGCGGTAGGGGGAGAGGGGAAACCCAAAGGGTAGAGGGCTCAACTCACGGGCTCGCCGTCCCTGCCGGGGGCTCCGTCCTTCCCCGGTGGCCCTGGGGGACCGGTGACCTGCTCTACCACCGAGCCATCGGTGTGCCGTGAGAGGGTCCCAGGGGGGCCGGGTTCACCCGGTTCCCCTTTCTGGCCCTTGGAGCCAGGGTAGCCAAATCCAGCACTGCCCTGGGGAGGGAAATGGGGATTGGTGGTACATCCCCAGGGGTGGCAGCCCAGGCAGGCATGGCTTTGCCCCGGCTCCCCCAGTGATGCTCACCTTAATGCCCAATTCTCCTTTCTCCCCCTGCAGGACAGAAACAAAGAGGAGCAGGTGTCAAACGCAAACACGTCACAGTCACCGGCATCCTTGAGCCCCCGGGGTCCACTCTCTCACCCACCTTTTCGCCTTTGACACTGCCCATCCCCATGATGCCTCCGGTCCCTGAGTCCCCTTTCAGGCCACGTTCGCCCTTCTCTCCCTTTTCACCTTTGGGGCCGGTGCCTGTGGGAAGGGAAAAGGGACCCGGTCGTGTTTGGGGATAGCCACCCCACCATGTCCCTACTGGTGTGCCGGCCAGCATGGTGGGGAAGGGGAAAACTGCCTTCATTACCTCCTGCGGAGACCCGCAGCGTCTCCTCTGCTCTGGTCCTCTCGGCTTGCTGCGGGGAGCCCCCGCTGCTCCTTGGCCCACTGCCCGCCACCACAGGGGGAGCAGTGACGGGGACAGCATCCACCAGCCCCGGGACACCCTGTGCCAGCAACAAGGGGACACCGCGGTGCTGTTCACCTCCCAGTACTCTCCCAAAAGGGACAGGTGCCGGGACCCCATCGGGCATCCCAGGACCTCGACCATGGAGGGCACTCAGTCCTCCTCATCCCTAAAATCTTGGGGTCCTGCCACTGAGCACAACACCCGTGGGCACCAACTCACCCCGACCTTCCCTGAGGGTTGGTGGCCACCTTCTGCCCCGCTGCCGAAATCGCCGGAGACCTGCATTTGCCCGGGGAGAAGGGCAAAGGGTGAGCCAGGAGCATGAGGCAGCACCCCCCCCAGCCTGCCCCAGCCGGGCTGTCAGCACTCACCTCCTCGGTGTCATCATCCTCTTCCTCGCACTGGCGCTCGGCCGCCCGCGGGTCCCCTTGCAGCTTCAAATCAGCAATCACCCCCTGGAAGGAAACCACGCCGAGGGCTGCCATGGATGGATGGGTGCCATGGACAGAGGTGTGTCGCAAGCCACCCTGTGGCATGGTGTGACCTGCCGGGCCGCTCAGCCACCATGTCCTCAAGTGCTCCACAAGGCTCTTTCACCTGGTGCAGAGAGCGCTCTCCACCTGAGATCCAACCATAACCCAGCACAGAGACGTTTCAACCTTGCTGCCCCAGTCCCCAGCACCACCGGCATGGAAAAAGCCATGTGCCAGTTCTGGCACCAGGCAGGCTGAGCAGAGGTAGCAGCCAGGATCCAGCCAGCCAGCCAGCCAACAATGCTTTTAACAGGAACCTTTTTGGCCATGCTCCATGGTTCCTCTCTCTGGAGGGCTCCCCAGCGGCAGACGGCTTCTCTGCTCCAAGCAAGGGCCACTGGCAGGTCCCAGTCCGCTGCAGCCCCAGTTTTGTATTTCTTAGGCTAATCCACAATTCCTTACCATTTATTTGGGTTTTACAAGCACTGTGTGCATCCACGCTGCTTGTTTATACAAGAAACCACCACAAATTCCTTCCTAAGGATGCTGCCTCCAGACAAATCCCCGTAGCTGAGCTACCTGTGCTGCCTGGGAGGGCAGCATCTCCATCTTCGCTGGGGACAGTGTGTGGGTACCAACCTGAACCCCACAGCTCCCACGGTGAGCAGAGTCACCCAGCACATCTCAGAGCCCAGCCCAGGTCCTCGCTGCTGGCATGGGACACAGGGATGCTGCTGGGATGGGATGCTGCCCATCCCTCTGATCCAGGCGGGGAGGTGCCAGGGACCATGCTGGGAGGTGAGCTTGAAGAGGGCAGATACCTCCCACTCAGTGTCTGTTCTCTGGGCAAGACACCTAAAACAATATTTGGGCTCACTTGAAAGCACAGCGCACCATGTCTGGGAAAGAGAGCTGCGGTCAGGAAACACGATGGGTTTAAGAAAACAAGAATCAGGGGCAGCTGCAGTTCAGCCAGGCTGGCTATGGCATTATAATATGAATATATTATAAATATACTATAGACATATAATAAATATAATATATTATAAATATATTATATTTTTATATATAAAAAGTAATATTTATAACCCACCCCCCCAAGCAAATGCCCCCCAGGTGGGTTGTGACCTCCTCCAGCTGCTCGCCCTCGTGACAGCCAGCTCTAAACCATCCCTCTCCTCCCCGCTGAGCATCAGCAGCAAGCCCAAGCTTTAATAAATGCAACACTCCAGCCTGGCCTTCCTGGTCCTGGGGCTTGCCAGAGGCATCAGAAATAATCCGGTTCCAGCCCTGAACCGAGGCATCCCCACAAGGGATGGTCATAAGGGCCCTTTGCAGGCCATTTGCCCCAATAAAGGGGGCAGCAGCATCATAGGTCTTATCATGCATCCAGCTGCAAACCAGTACTCCTGCCAGACCCCAGCTGAGACCCCATTTACAGTAACCCCCTTGATATCTGCTGTCCCAGGGGCTTCTGCATTACCTGCAGGCTTTGCCCCTCCAGGTTTCATGCCATTGACACAAAGGCAACTCAGGAAGAAGCACAGATGCCAGCTGAGACCCCACCAGCAGCCCTCCAGCTGCCTGCGAGCAGCTCATCTTGCGGCTTGACTGAGGGCCAGGTTTTAATCAGCTTGATGCCCTGTTAGTTCCAGATAACGTGAGTCAGGGCTGGTCAGCAATGGAAATACCACGAGGCAGTCAGATGCCAAGGAGACGTCCAAGCCTGCGCTCCCCGCTCTCCTCTCAGCCAGCTGAGGCAGTCAGCCTCCTTCCCTCGATAGCCATCTATTCTCCACGGAAAAACTGGGGGCAGGCGGTGGGATCGGGTGCTTGGCAAGCTCAGGAGCATCACCTGCTAGAGAGGCAGGAGTGCTTTGCTCTGCTCTGGGCTGTTGCTTTGCCTCCCAAATGGTGCCAAGCCCTCTCCAGCTGGGGAGAGCAGTTCTTCCACAGCCATGACCTGGCCCTCCCAGTACATTCAAGAGCAAAAAGTTGCTCTTGAGACCGCAAGGGACCAACCCGAATCCCAGTGCAAACCGGTCTCCAGCCCATCAATAATTAACCCCTTCCTGGGGGAGCTTTCCCTGCCCAAAGCCATTTAACTGGGACTGCGGCAGCACCACTCGTTAATCAAGATGATGCTTAAGCTCAGAAATGTGCTTTGCAAAGCTCCCCAGGAAAAGCATCGTTCCACTCGGCAGAGCCTCTGTTGCTGGGCAAACCATGCTCAACCCAGGCAAAACCTGGCAGTACAATCCTGAACTTTCCTCTCCTCCGCCACCGTGGGGGATTTCCATGTCAGCTGGGCATTTTCCCCACACTTTCCATAAACCTTTATCTAGAACATAAGTCACGCTCAAATCACAGGCTGAGCTATCACCTTCTCTCCTTGCTCTCCAAAGTCTTCCTGCAGATACCGCCCAACGTCAGCCAACAAAGATATGCTCCAGCCCAAGCATTTTTTCCAGCTAAGAGAGACATTTTACCAGCCAAACCAGCTCCTCCATGAAAGGAGTTGGGTATTTTTAGCAATGGGGAGATTCGAAGAGGCTCCGTGCATTTGCTGGAAAAGGTATGAGCAACGGTGGCTGCTGTAGCGCAACCCCATCTCCTCCTGCCAGCCCACCTTTAGAGTTTTGCTTCGGTGAGACCCAAGACAATAAAGTTGGTGGCATCTCAAGCCACCTTTCCCCCCCATCTCAAGTGTCTCCTTCCCCAGGGCCATGCATGGAGCGTGGCCGCTGGTTAGTCTTCTGGGCAAAGAAGTTGGTTCAACAGGCACAGGCTGGTGTCACGTCCTGCCAGCCTCACCCAGCCTTCTTGGAGATGCTCCTTGGGGTGACCTGAGGCCTTACCTGATATTTATCTGGGTCGGCCCCTCCAGCCTGAGCAACGAAGAGCCCGGAGCCATCTTCCAGCTCCATCTCATCCGGGGAGCGCTCGAAGCGGACCCGCTCGTGCTCCTCACAGTCCAGGTAGAGAATTACTTCATCCTCCTCTACGCTGATGGCAAAGCGCGTCCACTGGTTGAGCAAGGTGGGCACAGTGAAGGTGGCCGCCGCGTATGAGCTTGGCGAGCCCGGCTCTGTGTAGTAGAAGATGATTTTCTGCTTGCCTGCCTGCAGCTCCGAGAGCTTGACACCCACATAGATGATGCTCTGTGAGGAGTCCGTGACGGCAAAAAGCACACCGGCCCGGGGGGTGGTGGGCTGGATGTGGAACAGAAGGGAAAAGTCCCGGTAGAAAGGGCTTGGAAGGTGGTACCGGGCCACCTGGCCTGTGTTGGCGTTAGGGCCGAAGACATAGCCGGGGTTGTTGTCAGGGCCATAAATTTTGAGGATCTCTTCTGGTGGGGGGTCTCCGATCAGCTCCAGGAGGCTGACCTCGGTGCTCAGGTTCTCTGCAAAAGGAAGGGAAAGGGGATGGTCACAGCCGGCTTGGCAAGGATGGTCACTCTCGTCAAGGTGCCTTGGGGGGATACCACTGGCCATGCCTCCCCCAAATGCCACTCTACAGTGGCTTCCTCTGCTCGACCTCCCCAGGGCCCAGGATTTTCCTTCAGGCTGTGGGTTGGCCAAGGTAGCAACGCTCCTCAAGCTGCTCCCACAGCACTGTTTGGATGCGAGTCCCAAAATCCCATGCATTCCCTGCTGCTGGTCCTCCAACCACAGCTGGAACATTCCTGAGTTGGGATAAAACCAAAGGGATCTTGCCCATGGTAGCAACATGCAGGGGATGCTGCTGGAGCACCAGGATGCTGAACAACCATGGAGCCACGAGGAAGTGTGTTGCATCCATACCCGCTCCAGGGTCACGGCGACCCCCCACGTCATCCTGGGACAAGCTCATGGGGTCACCCTGGCTGGGAATAAATCAGAGCCATCCCCTTGCAACACCCTGGGAACGGGGCTCGAGACGGCGCGCCTCATCAGCTTCCCAGATGATCTCAATTTGGAGCTCGCCTCCTTTCCTGACTCCTTTTTCTCAAGGCGCTTGGGGAAGTTCTGCTCGGGACGGTCTTTCCTACCCGACACAGCTGAACATCTGGCTGGGGCGAGCCGGCCCTCTGTACGCCAGCTCCCGTTGTTTTGGCAGCAGGCACATCCTCATCGCCCACACACCGGGCGCTGGATTCCTCCTCTCCTATGTCAACCACTCAGGCAAGCGCCAACTCGATGGGAGCGAGCACGCTGGGTGCTTTTTTTAACTCCATGTTTCCCGGGAGCGAGGAAACCCAACCACCCCAGCTTCAAAATGGCTGAGGGCTCTGCACTGGGAACAGATGCTCGGTGCTGATTTCAGCTCCATCCTGAGTCAGGAGCAGGAGCTGAGACAATTCAATGTCCCCAACTCCATCTCTGGTGAGCAATGGGGGGTTATCAGAGGTGTGCTGAGCCCAGGAGGACCAGCCAGGAACTTCCACCCTGCTCTGGAGCCAGGCATTGTCCTCCAGAGCTCTTAAAAAAAATAAGAAGAGAAAAAAAAAAGAAAGAAGAAATCAGCCCAGCCTTGCCCAGCCTGGAAGGAAAACACGTCTCTCGGGATGGTGGGAGGAGATGAAAACATGGGTGCCTCTTCCAAAGCCTGGGGGTATCTGTGCACATGGAGCATCCCCAGCCTCCCCCCACTGCCAAGCTCTGATGCCAGCACCAGCCCCATGACAGGGATCCAGGCAGCGGGGACATTAGAAATGCCACTGATTAGAGGTGCGGGCAAGTTTTCTCTCTGCCAGACCCTAGACACACTGATCCTCTCCTGAGCCTGCTGCTCTGAAACTGCTCAGTGCCCACCCTGCTCCTCCAAGCCCCGAGTCCCTCCCAAGCTTGGCACGCCAAAACTGAGCACCCGGCTGGGAGGAAACCTCCCTCCCAGCCTTGCACCAGCCCTAAGCCCCTCATCTGCCCTGCACCAGGATTGGGCTTCCCATGGGGCAACCCCAGCCTGCTCGGAGGGGAAGGGCTCGGTGAGGGGTTCCTCACCGGCTGTGGGGAACTCTGGATCCTGGAAGCCCAGCATCCTTTTGCACTCAGGTGTGTGCAGCCCTACACCAAAAATGATGGGGCGAGCGAGCAGGGCTCCCCTGGACCCACAGTGAGCCCCACCCTGGCACCCACCCTTGAGACACCCCATGCTCAGGCACCCCACAAGCTCTCTCCCACTGCCGCGTCCCCAACCGTGTCATCCCCAGCCACCCTGCAGCAGGCGGCTGTGGCCAAGCCAACTGCAAACACCAGGATGCAGGGAAGGAGCTTATCTTGGGCTGGAGGAAGCCAAATTCACAACAGCTTTAAGGGAAGAGGAAACCAGAGCTTCCTGCCGGGGGTCTGCACGGGTGTAAGAGCGTAAGAGCCAACGCTGCAATTTCTGCAGCCAGACAAGCCATCGTCTGCCCCCAGGGCTTGGGATGACAGGGGACAGGCTGAAAGAGCCTTTTGTTAGCAATGCAATTTTCAACCGCGCTCCCCTTGGCATTTCAGACGGCTCTGGGATCCTCCCTCCTCTCCAAACATGCCACTCGCCCCCGAGCCCAGGGTGGGAGCTGGGTGCCAGTGCTTCTCCAAGCAAACACGGACGCATCTTTCCCCTGTGCAATGTGCAAAGAAGGCAGAGGCCAGGGCTACGAGGCTGGATGGGGCCTGAGGAGCAGGGGGAGTAAGGGGACACCCCTTCAAACGGCTGTTCCCCTACAAAAGCCAAGTGCCCCTTCTCAACCCCAAACCTTTCAGGCCATGACTGCTTTTTCCAAATGGCACCCAAAGCCCAAATATTGCACCCCCCTCCTCCCTGTGGCAAACCGACAGCATCCACCACGGAGAGCCAGAGACAGTCGACGCTGCGATGATTTTGGGATGAGTGCTGGCATGGGACAGCTGCGGGGATGTCTCTGGCCACAGCGACCAAGCCATTGACTTCTGTTGACATCGGAAAGGCCCCAGGGATGTTCCAAGCCACCTTCCCACTCTGCCCTGACCTTCTTGGCTGGCCCAAGCCAGGGCTGCCAGCATGGCCCTGCACACCCCATCCCAGCTGGGATGCAGGGGACCCCTGGCACTCAGGAGCATCTCAAGTCACTCCATGGAGTGCACCACAGTCCCCACATCCCCCACCCATTCCCGATGCTGCCCATCTGGGAGTGTGGGCTTCTCCCTAAGCATCCCCATGATCCTGCCGCACCCCCCTGGGTTGGCCGGCAAACAGAGCCGCTTTGACACTGAAGAGGACCATGTATGTGACCCTTGTCTGCCAGCCCCCTGCTAAATTGCCCCTCTGGCAGCAGTGGGTGTCTCGCCGCTCCTGGCCAGCAGCCCCAGGCCATCACCCGAGGGCATGGGGGGCCCGCGCGGGAACACAGCCTCATTCAGAGGGCTCGGCGGGGGGAGCGGTGAGCTCCCTCTCCTGCTTTCATCCCAAACTGTGTTCTTGCTCTTACACCCCAATGTGCATTTCTCTGAGCGCCAGTCCCCGCCCCCCCGCTCCCTTCCTTTCAACCCTCTGCCAAAGAGGCACATCTTGATCCCTGGCTGACATACAGCAGGGTCACAACCACCTAATGATGAAGCTGGAGGCGAAGTAACCTCTCCTGCCTGCCAAGCAGGGGGGGACCAAACATTAGCCATTGGGTAAATCATTAACCCGAAGGCAAAGGGCCGCTCTGGGAGAGGGGAGCATGCAGCCATGGCCACGGGTCACCTTGAAGCCTCCTCACCGCCATGGCCCCAGATGCTGCTGCAGTCAGGCGGCTGTGGGGTCTTGGTCCTTCCCCTGTCCCTGCGGGGAGCTGCCAGCTCTGCAAGCACCCCGCTCCCAGGATGGACACCCCAAAGCCTTTTGATGTGCACTGCAGCACCTGCAAACTGGCCATGAATGCCAGCATGGTGCGCTTGGGGAGCATCTCTTGTCCTGGCCACCGGGATGTTGTCTTTTAACCGGCCACTGTGTTTCACTGGGGGTGAAACAGCCCGAGGAGGGAATGGTGACGCTCAGCCTTGCAGAGGGAGCCAAAACCTGCTGGCGGTCCCCGTTTGAAGAAGCTGAGGCTGGATGGAAAGCGATTTTGGACTCAGCAGCACCCCATGGGGACAAGGCAGAAGCATCCCTCAGCGCCTAAAAACCTGGGGGAGTTTGGGGAGGTGAGACACACACACAAATACATGGACATCACCCAGCCACATTACCTGCAGAAGCATTAATAAAGACACAAGAATACCCTTCGTCCTCCTTGGGGAGAGCATCACAGGGCAGAGGCAGGTGCCCGCCAGCCAAGTGCATCCAACACAGGTCTCTGACGGCCTCGCAGAAGCCCTGGCACGGCGGGGGGGTTATGGGGACTGAGGCACTACACCCGGGGAGCAGGAGCAAGCAGAGAAACCACTCCACGTAGCGATGGCACCGCGATTCAAGCAGCCCCTCCCACTCATGCAAAGCGGCCCGAATTTCTGCCTCGCTGCTGTGGCGGAGGTAATTCGGTAATCTGAAATGGTTGGTGCCCAGCACGCTGCAGAAGGGCAGGTGGGTTGGGATGGGCAGGCAACGGCCAGCCGGTGGCATCAGTCCGGGTAAGAAGGATGCGAGCCCTGTGCCGCTACTACCGTAGAGTTGCATAGTGGCGGTTAGTAAATCAAACTCGAGAGGACCGGAGTTATTGGCAAAAGGAGGATCCACACCGTTAGCCACCCTCCTGTTAGGCAAAGAAGGACTCCAGCTCCCGTTCTTGCCAGCCAGCACCAGCCCCCGGTGGCCGGTGCCATGCCGCAGGTTCGGTGGGGCGGGCGATGCTCCATGGTGGTATCGGGGTGGTTGCGCCGTGGGGTCCCGGGGCGGCACCACCTGATCACGGGTACTGTCACCTGGTGAGAAAGGAAAAGGGGCACTACCTGGCCGGGGACCCGCTGGTCTCTGCAAGGACATCTGTGTCCTGGTCGCTGCAGGGGTCCCCGTCCCCAGGAACTGCGGGTCCTCGGTGTTCCCCATCCCCAGGAACTGCGGGTCCTCGGTGTTCCCCATCCCCAGGAGCTGCAGGTCCTCGGTGGTCCCTGTCCCTAGGAGCTGTGGGTCCTTGGTGGTCCCTGTCCCCAGGAGCTGCGGGTCATCGGTGGAGCTGCTGGCCACATCCTGGTCAGGGGCAAGTGACGTGCCACGGGGAGGAGCAATGCTTGGCCGTGCAGTGCTCTCCACCAGCCCCGTGGCATTCCAGTCCCACTGCTCGGTGTTTTCGGCCACGGTCCCCTTGCCCATAGGTGTTGCTGTGCTGGGATCCGGCTCCTGGCGCTGTGGGGTGGTGACGTCCCCCACCACCTGGCCATCCCATGTCCCTGGGGACACGCTGGGGGTGGGAGCTGCTGCAGAGGCAAGTGGCTCCGGTGCTGTAGTTTCCTTGCTGGGTACTGCTGGGCTTCCCGTGGTCTTCGTGCTGCCCCAAACCCAGTCCAGGAGCTGCATTTCAGAGGGGGAGAAGCAGCAAGCCAGGAGGAGCAGCAAGCCCAAGCGAGGTGGCGTCGGGGCCATTAGGAAGGCAAAACGAGTCCCGTTGCTTCAGAGGTTGAAACGGAGAGGCCGGAGGAAGGAAAGGAGGGAAGAGGCAGGAGTTTTGCCCCGGCCGCACTCCCGGAGCACTCACATCGCTCTCTCCTCCCCAGCTCCGGCGCACGACCCTTCAAACCGGAGCAGAGCAGGAGGAGTGGCCGCACCGCCGGCCCTGCCAAACCCTCCTCTCCCGAGCGCCAGCCTCCCCGCAGCCGGCACGGCCCCCCAGGGACCCTGCCGCCCAGCTGGGAACCCACCTGAGCCCCCCAAAACCTCTGGGAGCCGAGCCAGTCCTCAGACGCACCCTGTTCCCTGTCCCAGCTGCTGCTACCAGCTTTTTAACTCCTTCCTGCCCTGGAGATCCTAAATCCTCTCTCCTTGTTTGGTGGCTCTGGTTAAATTACTGGCATAGAGAGCTGTACGTAGGGGGGTCATGCATGGACATGGTCCCCACAGATGCCCAGTTTTGGTGGGACACACAGGTACCCCTGCTCCAGCTCTCAGGGAAAAGTTATAACCTCAGAGCAGATAAGAATGAGGAGGGAAAAAAAATCCCAGAAAACATTTCCAAGATTTCCACCGGCCGGAAACACAAGTCCCAAAAGTCAAGTGCTTTTAAGCTGCTTTCCCGGCTCGGTTACGGAGCCAGGACCCCTCCATGTGCTGTCGCAGGACAGCAAGGGGAGAAGCTTGTGATCCCCCCCCCACCGCGAGCATCATGCGCCAGCAACGTCTCGAAGCCAGGAGGTCTGAGCAATTGCAGCCTTGAACGCTTGAGTTTTCCTGAAGCCTGGGATGAAAATCTCCCCAGGGCAGCGCTGGTGCTCTCCCACACCCCCCAGAATTCAATTGTTCTTCACCCCAGCTTAAAAAAATCCCCCCAAATCCACTTATCTGGCTTGTTTTCCCACATCAGCACTGCTGTGCTCTGGAGATGATGACCCCTGTTCCTGGGGACCATCACATCCCCAGTCCCCTGTGGGGATGAAGCACACCCATGGCCTGCACTGCCATTCTGCTCTTGCTGTGATACTGGGCAAGTCACCTTCATGACTCAAAAAGTGTCCCTGAGAAGGGACATTGACAGGTAGGTGACAATTTTGTCTCCCCCTAGACAGGATGCTACATGACCAGGAAAGCCACAGGCTGCAGTAATGTGGTCCCGCAATGTGGAGTGGGAAGGGATGCAACTCTCCTGACGCTCTGGCTTGAAAATATTCAGGAAAAGCACTGAAACGAATGCTCAGATGTCTATTTTGCTTTACACAACATTTCCCACACTACTTTTTAAGCGAAACGGGTGAGTTTTCCCCTTAAAATGGTAGTTGGCACAGCAAGGATGCTGTTGCTAATAGGCTTGCCCCATGACTGATGCTGTTAGGGGTGCATGTTGTGGAACAGCCCACGACTAATCGAATGCGGGACGCATTTTTGTCCGTATATCAGAGTTTCCATATAGCCCCCCGAAGCTCATGTGCTCCCATCAACCTGATGAAAGGAGCCAGCCTGCCAACCCGCCCCGGCGTGTTTGGACGGGACCCCGCTGCGCCCGGCTCTGCTCCCCTGGGGCTAGGGTGCAGCATCCTGGCAGGGTGCGGGACCGCCCCTCATGTCCTTGGCACGTCCGAGAGGGATGCCGGTGACTGCTGCTCCTCTCCCACTGGTGGGGAGGACAGATGGAAAAGCTTGGTGTTCCCATGGCCTCTGCCCCAAACTGGGGGGAGATAAGTGGGGTGACAGCCTGTGGCAAGGATGTAATCCAAGCCCCGTGGAGCCACGCAGCATCCCCAGGGCAGCTCCTGGAGCCAGGGGGGAGCATCACGAGCCCCGATGAGCTGTCTCGTCTCAGCCAGGAGGGTTTCGATGGTGGCACCATGCTGGGGTGCCCCAAGCGTGTGCAGACACGATGCCCAGCTGGAAAAAATCCCGTTTCTCCCTTCTGCTGGGATTAGGCAGCTCACGATAGCAGAGCAGAGCAAAGCAGCAATCCTGTGGGACCTCCCTGTGCGCGGGGCCGCTGCCGCCAGCCCTCGTTAAGTCAATGATCTTCGTTTCACTGCACACCTCCACGCTGGCGGCTCCTGGGGAAGGAGCCAGGGCTGGGGCATCCCCACAAGCTACAGCATCTGTGTCCCCTGGCTGTGCTGCTGACCCCCTCTCAGCAGCAGGATTTCCAAAATAAGGGCTCGGAGGCTGGCCCGGTGGCACAGGTGGCCATCCCGACCCAGCATGCCCAGTTCTGCCACTGATCAAGCAGCAAGGCAGGGACAGGGAATATACCAGCCAATGAAATATTTTGGTAGAGGTATTTCCCCAAAGAGAAGCCACAGCAGCCAGCTTGCTGGCAGAGCAGGGGAAACCCCTTGTTTTAGTGTCATCTAGGCTAAAGGCTCTCAAAAAGCACTTTGCACACTCCAGGGGATGCTGCCGGAAGCTCATTGTGACCTTGCATTTCTTTAAAAGCAAAATTGGACCCTCAGTCTGGTCCCAATTCTATCCTGAACAGGCAGGCTGTGTCTTCCCACCGCTGTCCGGCATCTGCTGGTGCAGCCTGGTCCCCCTGGAAAAGGGGGAAGAGTCTGCCCTGCTCGCTGCAGGCCTGGTCCTGTCCCAGAAGAAAAGGAGGGGGGAAAAGGGGGGGGAAAGGGGGGGAAGGGGGGGGAAGGGGAGGGAAAGACGGGGGAGAAAAAGGGATAAAAGCCTGTCACCCAGGTTTCAGACCTGCTGCATGCCATCAGTAATTAAAGAATAATGCTGTTATTCTTTGGAGGCAAAAGTGGGGCCAAGCAAGCGGGTTTCAAGTGACGCAGCCATGCAGGTCCCCGTGCCATAGGAGCAGCCCATGGCAGTGGCCAGGGACAGCAAACCTGGCCATGAATGTACCAGGCTTTGCAGCACGCGCTGCATCCCCAACCTGCGTCCTGAGCTCTCGCTGGGGGCAGCTCCGGGTTGCTCTCCCCATAGCATTTTGGGAGGGGACGGGGACCCTGTCCAAGCCCAGCACAGCAAACCCTCCACCTCCACAGTCCAAGGCTGGACCCCCCAGCAAAAGCCGGGCAGGCAGGGATGGACAGATGGACAGGCAGATGGACAGCAGAGGGAGCCTCAGGCTGAGCAGAGCGCAGAAGCATCCTCAGGAGACCCATTTGTTGCACCCCATCAGGGGTGATGATCCATCCTAGTTACACCGAGGACCCCTCCTATCCTGGCCATGAGCCCAGAAGTCACTGAGGTGTGGGCAGGGATCGGCAGCGGTTTTTGCAGGGTGCAGCCGGACAGAATGCAGGCAGGGAGTTGTGACGTGCGGCTTCTTTCTTCCCCCTGCTCGCATCTCAAGGGAAAGTCTCCGCAAACTGGTGGGGGACCCTGGGTCCGAGGGGTGAGAAGCCTTGAGCCCAAAAAGATTAAGTGCAGCTGCAGAAAGGGCTTTAACGCTGACAGTGGATCCCGCTGCCAAGAGATTGAGTCACAGAGGGAAAGACCCCCCAAGGCACCCCCCACTCAGCCACGTGCTCCTGGACCTGGGGAGGGATGGAGCTCACAGCATCCCCATGGCACAGCTCCCAGGGAGCCTCTGTTAGCAATTGGAGGCTTTAATTAACAAATTTGCCCATTACTGGCCTCCGTTTCCCCCATTTATCCATTTTCTGTTTGCCGAGTCCAGCCTCAACTTCTCCCAGCCCGCAGACAGGATGGCTGAAATCGCCTCTTGCTTTTGGCCACCACTAAAAATGTCCCCAGTCCCTTTGGAGCAGCCGCACTGACCCACACACAGCATTGCACTGGGGGGTACTCCACGAAACGGCCCCCTGGAACCAGCAGGAAGGATGTCTGGGGTCAGCCCCAGGATGCAAATGCACCACAGCCCCACGACCTTTCCAGAGCCCGCTGGCACTTCAGCAGCTTGCCAAAAGCTTGCCGGGTTTCCACCAGTGATGGCAACATTGCCGTAGTGTGCTCGAGAAAGCATCCACCTCCAAAAGGCACAAAACCGCAGCAGAGCAACTGCTTCGGACTGCCTCTGATGCCCTATCCGTACATCTCCCCTTCCACGGATGCTGCTGGGGAAGGAAGGAAGGAAGGAAACCTTGACACTGGCACAGCCAAAATGCTGGAGGTGGAAGCACTCATGCATCGAGCAGAAAAATTCAGTGACTGTCAGCAGCAGATGGTAGCTATAAATCCTACCAATGTTTGGGATTTTAATCTGTTCTTTATCTAAAAGCCCAAACAACAGTTAAAAGGCCCTCATCGAGACACATGCTGAGGATATTGCCACATCCTCAGCCGCTGACCTCCCGTGCGGAGACAGCCCCTGAGGAGAGACGGTGGGACCCGGCCCATGGACGGGTGCTCAGCCAGGAAGACAGGCAGGCAGGGGATGGGGACGAGAATGCACGGGAGCTGAGCCAGCATGAGTGACGGCACCCATCATGGCCCCAAAAATGATGCAGGTGCCAGTTTGCTGGGACCTGCCTCCGGGCCAGCGTTTCCCCCCCGCCTCTGGCTGTGCAACACCGCTGAGCCCCTGGGACCGCAGCGTTCCTAAACATTTACTCATGAAGAGCCAGAAACATCCTCCCAGCAAATTCCTTGATAAGATAAACTGTGAAAATGTCACGACTGCCTGGGGGAGCCATCAAATAACTCTGGGAGGGAAGAAGGGTGGCCATGCCCAGACCCCGCTGGTACCTGCATCCTCCTCCTGCTCC